CCCCAAAACCCCAAAACCCCAAAACCCCAAAACCCCAAAACCCCAAAATATTTAACAAATTGAAATTAATTAATAAATATGGAGGAAACTAAGAGATTACACGAACAGATTTATGGACTTAGGGGGTTTGAACCTCCAAACCCACCCAAGCTTATAGAGTCCATTGAGGAGCACCGACCGAAGTTACAGCCGTATGAGACAAGTCCGGCGGAAACAAGACCGGTGATTATTATAGATAATGGGTCGTATAACTGCAGAGCTGGATGGAGCTTTGAAGAAAAACCTTACTTAGACTTTAGATCTCAGGTCACAAAGCCGAAAAGTCTTAATAGAGAGTTTTCGTATAAAGATTTCTTGGTAGGTGATGAATGTGACCTATTTGAAACGGGGAAAATACAAAAGAAAACACCCTTTGACAAGAATGTGGTATATAATATAAATAATCAGGAAGCTATTTTTGATCATGTATTCTCACACCTTGGAGTTTCTGGAGATTCGGTGAATTACCCAGTACTGCTTACAGAGGCATTCTGAAATCCAAATTACTCAAGAGCAATGGTATCTGAGCTACTTTTTGAGAAATATGAAGTTCCATATCTAACTCTTTCAGTAGATTTCTTGCTGTCCTTTTATTACAATCAAGTTAAAAGATATGAAGGTCGTTCAGTGCCTCTTAGTGGGTTGTGTGTTTCCTCTTCTCATAATGTGACTCACATAGTTCCAATACTTGAAGGATGAGTGAATGTACCAAAGTCGAAAAGGATTTCACTTGGGGGAAGTCACAACAATGAATTGCTAACAAAGTCCTTAAACCTGCGGTATCCAGTTCATAAAAACAAATTAATACCCTCAGTTATCCAAGAAATCCAGGAAAGACACACTGCATGTGCTGAGAATTATTCTGAGCAACTTGACTTCTTTGAAAAACAGTATGAAAAGGAGATGAACAGATTGAAAGAGGAGGATATGGTTAAGAGAAAAATGATGCTTGAGGGAGGATCAAAAGAAAGTAACACTCTTAAAAGCATTCCTAAGAAAGGAAGTAACCTCAAAATCTACAGGAATGCTGTAGATTACTCCAATTCTCAACAAGACCCAGCTATCATGCCTGATAGAGTAATCCAGCTAGATTGGTCCCCTATTGAGCAGCCGTCTGAAGAGGAAGAGAAAAGAAAAGAAGCCATGAGGAAGGAACAAGGCAAAAGACTTCGAGATATCAATGCTAAGAAACGTGAAGAAAAACAAAAGAAATTAGCCAAAGAGCTTTCTCAAATCGAAGCTTATGAAAATGATCGATCTCTTGAAGACGACAAACTCAAGCTTAAAGAACTAGGCTTTAAGTCAATGGAGTCTCTTTTGGAACGTATTGAGTACATCAGAGAGAAACTTGGTATCACTCAAAAAGAAGAGAAAAAGGAGGAAGAGAAATGGCCTTTGCTCTCCATTGATGACTCCCAACTTGATGAAGAACAAAAGAAACTCAAGCGGATTCAAAAGATGCAAAAGAGCAGCTACCTGAAACGTATGGAGAAGAGGCTCAAAGATGAGGCTGAGCGTAAATAAAATTGAAAAGATGAAAGTAGAAAACCCAGAGGAGTACCTCAAATCCTTGTACTCAAAAAGGAAAGCTATCTACCATAGAATGGAAGACCGCAAGGAACGCAAAGAACAAATGAGCAAAAGAGATGGTTTCAAAAGGAAGATGAAGACTATTGCTAAAATTGGAGCCATCAATGATGAGACTAAGAATAAGAAAAATAATGAAAGCGAAGAAGACGATTTTGGAATCAACGATGAAGACTGGCAGGTATATAAAACAATCGCCAAACCAGGGTATGAAGAGGATGACCAAGAAGAAGATATACAAGCACTAGAAGAGATCAATGAAAAGATCGCAGAAGTAGATCCAAACTTTGGCTGCCTCTATGGAGATAATGATAAGAAGCAGATTGACGCAGAAGATTTTCAATTGAGACTATCTACTGATAGGTTCAGAGGTTCAGAAATATTGTTCCAACCCTCTATTATTGGTCATGAATTTGCGGGAATCACTGAGATCCTTGAAAATATTTTCCAAACTAACAGTAATGAAATCAATAATACTCTCACAAGTTTTGTGCTTTTGACGGGAGGAAATACGAAAATTGAAGGAATGGATAAAAGAATCAAAGCAGAAATCCAAATGATCAGACCACAAGGGTCTCCCTTAAATGTTGTCAGAGCATATGACCCATCCCTTGATGCCTGGAATGGTGGATTAATGTTTGCCAGGAGAGAAGATTTCTTAGGGCAAACAAGCATTTCCAAAGCTCAGTACGAAGAATGAGGGCCTTACTATCTCAAGGCTCATTTTGCTTCAAACCTAGCATATGGGGAAGCTCTTGGGGTCAAAGTAAGTTCTCAATCACCCAAAAAGAGAGTGAAAACTGAAGAATAATTTGCCATAAAAACTGTAAATTCTTTTATCAACAATAATTGATATAAATGGGGTTTTGGGGTTTTGGGGTTTTGGGGTTTTGGGG